ATTAAGTTTTGAATTTTTAAATACTTTGACCTCGAGCTTCACTGAAGAGACAAATATTGTCGAAATGCGCTTCTGGTACAGAAAAATTAATACTGTTAATGTTATTATCATACATGTATATATACACACACTGTCAAACCGTTGAAATTCGTAAAATATGTTTAAGGTTGTTATTACTTTAATGATACAAGAAGAAATATCCTCCATGTACCAACAATAGAAAACTGTGAAATTGAGTGTAGTCGGTACAGATATTTTACCTACAGGGTAAGTAGTAAAAAAATATGCATAGACCAATGTTTATTTTCTTGGGGTTTTTCGCTGTTTGATTATAATGTTTAATTGTATTGTTGATTGTAGCTGAATTGTAATGTATTCTTCTGAGTTTGTCCTTGGGTTGATACGACATCACCTTGATGTTTCCAGTACAATTTTTTTGTAGTTCCTTAATTTTACTGTAGATGATGTTAAAAATATCGGTATAAATATAATTTCATTGGTCTCTTCAGCCTATAATAATCTGAGAACTGATCTTGTCTATTGTTGATGTTAAAAAAGCTTTAATTGTGCAACTAAGGCTACAACTTTTCAATTGTTTAGTAACATCTGAATACACTAAAATGATCGCTGGATTATTTATTAATATTGCTCATTTTTTTGTTATAATCTTAACATCAGAGGAAACAGAGTATTTTGTATCTATTATCTATCTTTTCGTCTATCTATTTCATGTTTACGAGTAAGCAAGAAGTTTATTTGGTAGAGTCAGGAATGTTTTTGTAGAAAGACATCTGCTAAAACATTGCAGTATTCAGCCTCGTCGTCCTTTCTTCTGGATCATTGCGTTAAGCTACAACGTCTTTTTATACAGTCTTTGACACTGAATTGGAAAAAGTTCACCGTATATGAGTATATTGCAAGACGTTGAGAAATAAAATATTCAATAATCATAATATTAGATTCTATGCATATTAACTAAAATAAAATAGAATCAAATTTAAAACCAGGCACATGAAAACCCGCTGTGTGTATGTTTGCTGCAAAAACCAGAAACACTTGTAATGCCTCATTATTGTGACAGCCTCGAAACATACAGATATTCAATTGTGTATGACAGTAAGTACTAAATTTAATGTTTTACAAAATGTCATATCTTCCTTATTGACAAAGTATATATTTATGGCTAAACGGCACCAAAGAATTAGTTTTTTTTTCTACATTTGACTATTTACTTCAAAATTCGTGTATGGAAGAAGATATATGAATTATCTAGAATTTACTCCTATAATCCTCTAGTAATTCGTAATATCCCACAGTTCGCAGTTGTAAAGGATACAACAAATACAGTTACGTCTGCATCATATCTTGACTTACATCTAGGAATTGACACGGAGGGTCGGTTGAAAACAAAATTTACGACAAAAAAGATGATTTCAGCTTCCCAATTGTGAATGTTCCATTTCTATGTAGCAACATACCAGCAGCGCCTGCATACGGAGTATTTATCTCCCAATTAATACGATATTCTCGGGCTTGTATTTCCTATCCTGATTTCCTTGATAGAGGGTTGCTGCTCACAAGAAAGCTATTAAACCAAGAGTTTCAAATGGTGAAGTTGAAATCTTCCCTTCGTAAATTTTACGGACGCCATAACGAGTTGGTTGGCCGTTATTGGAAATCCGTTTCACAGATGCTAGCGAATATGTTTCTAATGTCGTTACCACAATCTGGTTCCCTTTTCACGAATTTGACCTAGCAAATTAGACTTATTACCGGATTTGTACTAACATGAGCAACACGACGGTTGCCATATGTGGAGCAGAATCTGCTTACCCTACAGGAGCACCTGAGATCACCCCTAGTGTTTGGTAGGGTTCTTGTTGCTTAGTCTTTCGTTTTCTATGTTGTGTTTTGTTTACTATTTGTCTGTTGGTCTTTTTCTTTTTTAGCCATGACGTGGTCAGTTTATTTTCGACTTATGAGTTTGAATGTCCCTCTGGTATCTTTCTCCTCTCTTTTACACAACAACAGTTTGTATTTCTGTCTTTCTTTTAAAACGTTCCGTCTCGAGCATACCTTATCAACGAGAAAACCTTAAAAGATTTAGAACGTTATTTAACTCTATAGAAATAAGAAAATGTGGCATGATTGCAAACGAGACAATTTACCCCAAAGACCAAATGACGTGTAAATTACCAAATATAGGTCATATTCTATACGTTATAAATGGTATGTATGAATATCTAAATATACGGCTACATACTACCATATTTAAAAAAAATATTTTTATCGACATATATCTTGGTAATCAACATTCAAGCATAGAAATTATTTCTCAAAGTCTTGCATATACATGTCAGTAATATTTGAAGATTTGACCTTTTATGAAACGAAAATATTATTTTATAACTCAACATGAATAAAAGGAGATCTGGGTAAGAAAACTTTACGAGGATGTCGCTATTTTGTTTTTAATTCGTTTCAGTTATATATACATTAAAGGCCTTTTGCGTGTTTTTTTTTTTTTTTTTTTTTTTCACATCCGTGTCTTTGAATATTTGTTTATTGACGTTCCTGGTGCAAAATAATCCAGAAAAGCGCTTCATAAGTCTAAAATATTTTTTATTATTTTCCTCATTACTCCAAATCACTCCTGGCTGCGATTTTTTTCCTGGTTTTTGTATGTCAGGTTAAATGTCTTTTATTATGATTAACCTTGTTGACTCAATTAGTTTTAGACGTTTCGTTGACCACTTTCCAAGAATAATCACTTCTTTGATTGTTTTTTTTTTATTCATATTTGGACCTGATATTTTGTATAGCTATTTGTCAACTTCGATCATATGTTTCGTTCTTTTTTTATGTTATGTATTTGTATTTTAGGATATTCACGATCAACAATATATGAAAATAAAACAGGAAATTGTATGTATAGTTCATGTGTTTCACCTTCTGTGCAAATAAATGGTCCTTATGTCACCAATTGTACGTCCACTACAATAAAAGGTGTTTGTGGTAGGTTTCATTAAAGAATAACATTAAAAAATGAAATGACAAAAGTAAAGCCATGAAAAGTAGTGTAAGAAAATAAGAGATTATTTGGTAATTTTTGCAATTCGCTTTTTCAAAATTCAAATGCATTATGTGCAGGTTTTTTTGTCAAAAATGGACATCAAAACAGGGCTATTGGTTAACATTACAATGAAGATCATTTTGAAGATATTTTCATCAGGATACTCAAACCACCATAAAAACTAATGATGCATAAATGCCTAAGCACGTGAGTAATTATATGACAGAACGAGAGAAAAAGAGACCTAAATAAATTGCCAATATTCATCTCGGATCTTTTCCTGTGTAAGTTGGAACTTGAGTTTATAAATAAATTCCTTATTAAACGACAAATTGAATGAAAGTATCCTAAAAAGCAGGTAAGCACCAAGGCGCTGTAGTATATCTCGATAATTTAACAAATTATAACTTCTTATCGTTCATATAGCTTTACATTGCTGACGTATAAATATAATTCCTAGAATTGACTTCCGAACCAAGAAAACTTGATTTTATTTATTATGCATACTCGCCTAGTAAAAGAACTATGTGTTTCTAATACTTGTAAAAACAATGGAATATAAAAAGACATTCATTTGTTCCTTATAGGGGAGGGGTGATTTCTTAATTGTTTTACCTTTGTTTGAATATTACATCAAAATATAGAAGTTAGCTTTCAAAACATATAAAAAAAGATCAAATTAGAAAGATTGTTTAACTGTAGCAGACACTGTCAAGTAAACAATATACGTAAACACCCACATTTTTTTATTTATTGTCATATGTATAACCTTGTTTATAAAATGATATAAAATGGACATTAACCTATTCATAATTTAACTAGATAATGGTGAAAAGATTGAAGATGAAAATACTGGTTGGCAGAAAGGTTTGAGTGACTGTATCGAAAACCACGGAACATACTTTCTAAATGATTTTCGACAACAGTGTTCCTCCGTTGAAGCACCTAGCTGGACAAATATATTCAGACAGCATTATTCTTTTCAATACGAAATACATACCCATGATGGTAAATTTGTATACAGTATTTCTTTTGATATCTATCTTAAATTAATGTTTCAAAATGTAGCATCATGATGTTTGTACAAACTTTAAAAGAATAATACTATACCGTTTGACCAAAGTATGTCATACAGATAAAAAGTGATACTCGTTAAAAGAAACCGAAAAAAACACTAGTGCAGTCAAAAGAAAACTAGTCCATGTTGATCCTTCATATTTCAGAACAAGCGTCGAGTATTTCTTATTTATATGAGATTTTAATTCAATTGTGAGATTTGAACTTCGGTAAACTACTGTTGACTTTTATAATTACAATGCACACACTTTGTTATGATTGTTATTTTTTTGCAATTTTATCTTTCTGTGTTGATAATGTACACATTTGTACAAAGTTATATGTAGTCATCTTTCAATCTTTTGTTTTAGATGAAATCAAGAATATCCTACTAAAATGTGGTTCAACTGAATTGCACAATTTATCTTGGCCGATGATGGAAAAAGAAGAAAAGACAAAAACACAGTATATGTACTTGGACTGCAATACAATATTGCCTTACTTTATCTGCGAAACTGGTAGGAATTATCTGGTCTATTCAGTTCAAATTATTTCAAGCATGTCATTCTCTATGTAAAATCGAATTCACTATACGGGGGTCTGGAATAACCTTCACTGGTTTTTTTTTAGGACATTAATTTGTATAATGTGGAAGAAAATAAATACGCCCTTAAAAAGCATCCAAATCCAAAACATAGCATCCTTTGGTCAATTTTGACTAAGATATATACAATTGCAACTTTAGCTTTAACGTAAGAACCTAATTTAATGAAATGTTTAGTATGACTTGATTAAGTTCTTGGACAGTTAGTACCTCAGGTTCTAATATGCTTTATTTACAACTGTATTTATCTACTACTATATTTTACAGATTTGTCACATCTTGTTACTATTTATCCAAATTATCCACCGTCTACAACTAAAAACCAGAATCATCATAGTAAGTGTATAATCATAGTAAGTGTATAATATTAACAAATCATGGTTGATCTTACTGGATGCAATCAAACGAATCCCATGAGCTGATTTGACGTGCTAACTTTTAAACATTTGCCAGTTATGATAATTGATCGTTATATTATATCTTTTTCTGTGATGTCGATAGATATTTTTAAATTGCCGAAATCAAAAACCTGTTCTCTTTTCTTCGAATGAGATATCCTCAAGTTAGACATATAACCGAGTTTGTACCTACATAAGCACATGTGAAGAAGGATCTGTTTATCCTTCGGAAGCACCCGATATTACTATTAGATTTTTATAAAGGATTAGTGTTGCTCTTTGTTTAGTTTTCGGGATTTGAACCTGGTGCTTTACATTTTTTTTTATTTTCTGTGTTATTTCTATATGTGACAATCAAAGTTTTTCATTTTATCAAGTTTTACGATAACAAAATGTAGATGACAAAATGGTTATGAGCTTGGTGGTGTCTTAGGGTTAGATCAGAGTCAATCCTCTCTTGTGAGATGCCTAATCACTTGATATAACTTATCAACATTTTTTTCGAGGAGTAACACGACTTGTGGCAGTTAGGTGGTCAGTCTTTAGTTTTCTATGTTTTGTTTTGTATACTGTTATTTGTCTATTGGTCGTTTTAGTTTTTTTACCATGGCGTTGTGAGTTTCTCGACGACTTATGAGTTTGAATGTTCCTTGGTATATTATGCCTCTCTGTAATTTCGTGGTTGTTTCTTGGTATAATTGTGCAGGAAAATGAACGTGCATTGCAACTCCATTTTATCCAAGTTTTAATATCGACTTCTTTCATGAAATGAAATATTTTAAAATTGCCAATTTTAAACCTATGCTAATGAACCAAAGGAAAATTCACGTGTCATATTTCAAGCTCTTAGTCGCTCTGGTATTGTTACAAGTTGTAAAAAAGTTAAAGTAAGCTACCGATAATCTTCCATCTTCCCTAAAATACAAAATGAATGTAAAACATCACATAGAGTGAACCTTTAGGCGTGAAGTTGGTGTATGAATGAAACAGCGTCTTCCATACGACAGTTTACATTCGGTTGGTGTTTATCTTAACTTTCGATCTAAAATCCAGCGACATCCCGAACTCCTGTATTTACTGGGTCGGAACTCGGCCAAAACGAAAAAAATCAAATATTGTTCGAGTTATTCTGAACTTGCCGACTTGACACTTTTGTATGGCACAGGAAGTGTTTATTATATAACAAGTCCAATAACACAGTAGTTAATTAATAAAGGATAATAACATATTGCTTACAAAATCTGAATGAAGGGCAACAGTGCTGATTTTGCAGACACATAACATGTTTGTCAACATACATTTTAATGTCAGCTACTGATCTGTATTTTGAAATGGATTTCAATCAGAAACTTATAAAAAAAAATCAATCCCCTTGTACATTAGTAGAGGAATTTCATTGTAGGAAATCAAATATGTAAGTTGCTAAAAAGAGTAAATATATCGATATTTAGTCAACGAGCACAAGATAAGTCTGAAATTAGTTTTTAATATCAATGAAAAGTACATTCTTGCAAGTAGAATTGAATTTATATCACGTATCTCTGTATTTGCGACAAATTTTCAAAAGGTGTTTATATAAATTTATAATATAACTAATATAAATAATTGTTATAAAAGCTGCCTTGTACGCCAATATGAACATTGAAAATAAACATTTGCAAATACACACCACGAGATAATTTTGTATATATATATATATGTTCTGTTTTCAATACTTGAAAATAGTTATATCTTCTGTTCATGATATTAAATCATATTCTATAGTTGATCCCTCCAAAATATATTTCTTATTCATTTTAACACGACATATCAAAGCAATGTACTATGCTACAACATTAATAAGAAGTATATGAATTTAAGGGTGAAGAATTTCTGTTTCACTTGCCGCATATATCCAATGTATAATTTCTAAACAGTTCAGATTGCTTTTCTTCTTCAAATATGTTTACATTTACAGATATCTCTAGTCCGAATAGTACACCGTCTACAACAGGTAAGTATAGTTCTTACAGTACGTATTAGATCAAAAATAGGACTTATATTATAGGTAGTAAAAATACATAATTTTTAATCCAAATAGAACAATGCTATATGATGCTGTATAATATCTAGTTATAATTTAATGTACAGGAAAGTTCACATCATAAAGAATCATTTCGAACAGTACAAATACTTGCTCATGATTATACAAACCCATAATGAAAGTGACATATTTGAAAAACATTGAAAATGGAATAGTTTTGTCTTAGTTCAAAGAGAAAATCAATATAATTCTGCAAATATATATTATTGTTACTATTTTGGTAATAAAGAATACTTGTTATAATCTTTATCCCTAGACCCGTGCGTGTACGTCTTTATGACAATTTTAATACTAACTTACTTAGTGACTGGTCATACCTTTTAACTGATATATTAAGCAGATTAAGATCGATCACTGTCCTATTTTCCAGAAACACAACAACTGGTTTGGGAAATCTAGACAATAATATCCACTAAACCAGCATTGATGTATTATAAATTTCTTCGTACTTTATTTGACCTCACAACCTTTTTGATTCGAATTCACTAATGAGTCTTTTTTAGACGAAACGCGCGACTAGTGTACAAAATTTCAATCCTCGTATCTATGATGAGTTCATTTATAATCTCCTTTTTCAAATACCTTATATCTAAACTGTTTATTATTGTGCATTTGTTTAAATCTTGATATATATATAATTGTACTAACAAATATATCTATACTAACAGATCCCTCACACCCGACTACTTTGCCATCTACATCCAGAAAACACAACTCTCATAGTAAGTGTTTACCGGTAGACTGTACTGAATACAGACAAGCATATTCCCATGATTTGATATGCTAATTGACGTCTGAGACGTTACTGCAAACATTTACATATCAAGCCAATATTGTATAACCTGTCATTGATTGTTGGTGGCATTATGTTGTTGTATTTTTTGTCTCTAAGTATGTCCTTTTTGGAAGATTGAGATGTGATAATGCAAGCTATGATTAGTATCTCACAGACATATATTCTTGCTCAACGAAACTGACTTCAGTAACAGAGAGCACAATCACCAAAATGGCATGCAAATACCATTATTCAGAGAAAGACAAACATCGTTCAGACATAAAGAAATAGAATGCACAGACGAATAACACTCCACAAAACACTACGCAAAAATAAAAAAGGAAGCATAAGATGAATATAATGAATATATACTGGGCATGATCTCAGATGTAAATTAAAAGTAAAGCAAAAAACTAAAATACTGAACTCCGAGGAAAACTCAAGACGGAATTTATTAAAAAGGCAAAATCAAAAACGAATGGAAAACAACTGTCATATTACTGACTTTGTACAGGCATTATCATATGCAAAAAATGGTGAATTAAACCTGGTTTTGTAACTAAAATACTGAACTCCGAGGAAAACTCAAGACGGAATTTATTAAAAAGGCAAAATCAAAAACGAATGGAAAACAACTGTCATATTACTGACTTTGTACAGGCATTATCATATGCAAAAAATGGTGAATTAAACCTGGTTTTGTAGCTAGCTAAACGTCTCACTTGCAACGCAAATAATCCATTGTATTGACAACAATGTGTGGACTAAACAAACAGACATAATAAGGTATAAATGTCCAAAATTGGGTTACAGCAGTGTTATTATCTTAATCACTATAAAAACAAACAAACTATGTCAACAAAGAAAAACAAAATATAAACGGAAAGAGGCCCCTGAATCACAATTGAAACAGACAGAAAAACTAAATAAAAGGCGAGATCCTTTGTTACATTTAAAATTCACAAATCAAACAGAAAGTGACAACGTGAAGGCAAAAATAAACCGATAAGTTCACAAAGTACTACATGGAAAACTATAGACTCAGCAAGACAAACCCCAAATAAGATCGATGTGATTTTATGTGACACAGATGGGAAAGTAAATCCTGCTCCACATGCGATAACCGCAATGTTACTTATATGAAACATGAGCAGATACGTATATACTAGTGATTTCTCAACTAAGAAAGGGGTTCTGGCTACAAATGAATCGATTGATATGTTGATGATTGTTTTACGCCGTATGTCGCGGCGAGTTACAATTGAATCCTAATAAGTGTCATCTATAATATAGTTAATTAATAACTAAATCATATTGACGTCCGTTAAACTTTTAAAAATAATATATGACTTTGACCTAACAGTAAGATTCTTTACGAGATGCATACTCGATTCGCAAATTACATAGAGTGGCCGAGATATTTGTGTGAGGTAATCTTCATATTACAATATGCGCACTATGCGTCTCCTTTTTGACATTCTTTGATTATCTCTTAATATATTTTGTCATATATTTACAGATCCCTCACATCCGCCTACTGACCCATCTACAACCAGAACACATCACCCTCATGGTAAGTGTATTATGCTCTAAATTAATACCAGTTGACTAGAATGAATACAGACACACATGTTCCAATATAGATCAATATATGAATGTCTTGATTAAAATCTGAGATAAAAAAACAAAGGCTACCACTTACGTTTCAAAGCATCTTTTAATGACACTTAACAAAAAGAAAAGAGCGGAACACTTCGTCAAAAAACAACCTTTTAAAAATAAAAACTGCACAAGCAGGATAAAAATACAAACTTCCAACAGGGAAAGGAATATTATAAAAAAGAGAGAAAAAGAGTACAAAAATACCAAGATGACATGAAGTACAATGAACCAGAGAACGACAAACGATAAAAAAGTGAATAGAAAAGACGTTCACATGTACTATACAAATGATAAAGATAAAATGTCCTTTTCTAATACCTACCATGCAACTGCTTATCATTGTGCATTAAAATTAGATATTTATATTAACAGATCACTCCTCTCATCCGACTACTGTACCATCTACAACCAGAAAACACAACTCTCATAGTAAGTGTTTTGTAATTTAAATAAACAAATATCAGTAGAATGTACTGAATGCAGTCAAGCCTATCAACATGTTTGGGTTGTTTGGTTATTATTATTGTTCTTCGAAGGAGAGTTTGATATCATGAAAATTACTAATAACTCATCTTGTCTGACTCCTGTTAAGAGGATCATCAAATGCAATATAATGTTTACTACCAGATAAATATATATCGTGTCTTGTGCATATAATTAAATGGCCAGTAGCATAATGCTGTTTTGTTCATATAGATTTATCCGCCGTTGGTTTTACCTCAAGACCTGAAGACATAAATTACAACCCTGTACGCGTTTTACACAGATGGTTTTTGCATTTCGTTGGCGGTGTATTCACTTCACTTATAAACAAAATATATTCTAAAACAGTCATTTTATATCTGAACAGCACTTATAAATGATAAAAAAGAACTGCGCAAACATTTTTTAACGGATTTTCGGTCTTTCTGTCAATTCATTCACTTCAGTTTATTCGGTACTTATCGAAATATCCGTTCGAAGTCAATATATGTTAAGTCTATGTTTAGAACACTCAGTGGTTGTTATTTACAAACAAGACGAACATTCAAAACAACAGTCTCCAAGGCAAAAATGTCAGCATCATTTAATGACCAATAACATAACATAATTCTGGTGTATTGATATGTACACCATATCTTTTTTATACATATAACATAGACATTGAATACAGTTGGGTTTAATAGTAAAAAGTAAAATCACAAAAATACCGAACTCCGAGGAAAATTCAAACGGAAAGTCCTTAACCAAATGGCACAATCAAAAGCTCAAACACATCAAACGAATGGACAACAACTGTCATATTCCTGACTTGGTACAGGCATTTTCTTATGTAGAAAATGATGGATTAAACCTGGTTTTATAGCTAGCTAAACCTCTCACGTGTATGACAGTCGCATAAAATTCCATTATATTGACATATATGTGAACAAAATAAACAGACATAATAGGTAAAAATGTCAAAATAGGGGTACAGCAGTCAACATTTTGTTATTATCAGTATAAAAACAAAGAAATATGTAAACAAACATTTACCATGGCACAAAAACACAATGACGGGATGTATAAGTACCGAGCCACGTCATATGTAACAAAGAAACACAAAAAGTCATTTAGACAAAGCATATTATCAAAAATGAAAGATAAGGGGGAAAATTTGATTGGTTAACTTCCAGTGATGGTAATTTTCTTATATGCAATGAAATGTTATGTGAATTTTTTTCTATAGCACTGGACAGGATAAAACTTTACTCATGCCAAGTATTTCTTTATTTGAAACAAAGATAAATTCTGCACAATGTTTTTAAAAGTGCAAATTTAACAAAGACTAATAGGGGAAAATCAATGGTGGTATTACACCTAATATGGGAAGCTGTACATGCACCTTTGACCTTGTGAGTACTCTCATGTGTTAAAATTTCTTGCTATGTAAGTGAAATATTACAAATAATGAAATATTCTGAGTGGATTGAGTCTCCCAAAACACATTTTATGAGAAAATAGGACTTTACCCTGAATATTAGTTGACAGAACAAGCCATACTTAGAGTTTTAGGGAGCCTTTTCTCCTTATTTCTTATATTCTGCTAAGAAATACTTTAAAAACTATATAGTTTTAAGTAAATGAAATTATTTTTAAAGCAGTAACAACAAATTATTCACCAAAAGAGAAGCTTTTTATGTCCCTCTCTGGAACACGGCGTAAATTTAGATTTTTACGTAAGGACTTATTGAAACCTCCTTGGAGACAGTAAACTTTTATACGGATAGTTCATTCAGCTTGAATACTTCAATTAATCATTTATTATAACTTTTCTATCATAAATGAATGAAAGTTACCCCAAAATTTTATTTATTGGCCTAAAAAGTAGAAATTTTGAGGAAATGAGAGGTATAAATGGACCAAAAGAGACCTTATAAGGAAGACAAAGAGGTCCATTAGTAGTATTTATCATCCTAACGTCATCTTTTGTATCATGTTCAACTGTTTGTAGGCAGATGAGATAAACATTTAATCATTTATTGGTCCACACTATATTCTATCATGATGCGGCTTGGTTTGGATTTTTCGAAGAAATTTTGCTCCAAACACTGTAGATGTCGTCTTACATTATACTAGATTTTTCTCAAACCATTGAACTGATTATGACAAAACTTGACAGGAATGCTTGAAATAACCAGTATTACAAATGAAAAAAGTCACATTTAGTTTATTTCACAAAAAAGTCTTCTTTAGGTGTAATACCACCAAATCATAGTACGTCACATCCGGTTGCATACGAAAATAGGTCGAAAATAAATATTCCCTTGAATTTGACAGTTGTAGGTAATTGATCCTACATTTCATTGCAGTAAAACATTTCTGGGTCATAAACATATATCTTGGGTATTTCAAAGCACCATTATTTTTTTATTTGGGGTTTCTATAGAATATTTTGGAAACTTGAGGTTACATGGTTACTAAAGCTTGTACACAGGTTAAAAAAGAGGGAAAATTTGATTGGTTAACTTCCAGTGATGGTTATTTTCTTATATGCCATGAAATGTTATGTGAAATTTTTTTCTATAGTACTGGACAGGATAAAACTTTACTCATGCCAAGTATTTCTTTATTTGAAACAAAGATAAATTCTGCACAATGTTTTTAAAAGTGCAAATTTAACAAAGACTAATAGGGGAAAATCAATGGTGGTATTACACCTATTAAAATGAAAATATCAAATACAATTGATTTAATTACTCTTTTGTTTTTATATTATTTAAGCTTCTTCACAGTCAACTTCTATAAGACCGTCTTCAACTAGAAACCACAATTCCAGTAATAAGTATAATTTGCTTTCAATAAATACCAGTATATTTTAATGAACACAACAAAACATTTTCAAATAGTGTGTTAGTCATTTATAAAGAATGAATGGATTGATTATTTTAAAACATGATAAGATAAAACAGATTGTACATTAGTTTGAAACAAACATCTACAAGACATCTACAAGACTTTTACGAACATGAAGTACATTTACAGTGCCAATGTTGCTGTTTTACGTCTCAAAACCGTTAGGACTTTAGCAGGGATCATAAACCTTTTAACACACTATTGATCTGAACTATTGTTATCCTATATGTGAACTGAAAAAGACATAATGCATTCAAACCCGTCTATATGCAAATGTTGACCTTATGAGGTAAGAGGATGAATATTGTTCGGTATTTAACCATTAACGGTCAAAACCCTAAATCGCTTAGAGTATTGACTTTGTAACGTATACCTATTGAGGAGGTTTGAACAGGAGGTACTTTATTTTAGTGCAATCTTACAAAACAGCGCTAATTCTGTAAACTTATTATTTAATCCGATTTTACTTATACATTTTCTGTAATCATATAAGTTCCCTAGATATGCATGGTTATTTTCTGTAATCTGTATTATATTTCCTATTTCTTTTACATTTCACTCTTCTCTATTCCATAATCCAAATTTAGACCACCATAAAGAATTACTTTTCAATGACATCCTTTACGTTTTATCTTTTTTTCACTCTAAATATGCTTTACAATTACAGATTCCACATATCCGACCACGATACCCTTTAAGACCAAAAACCACAACTATCATGGTGAGTGCATATTTTGATACCGAGAGATCACATTAAATGCCGTTAGACGTATTTAACTGTTTATAAACTAATCAAAGATTGTCGTTATCATCTGTGAGATATGGAGATGTTTGTTCAAACAGTTATTTTCTTAAGAAACATCGACGTATACAGTGACGAACACTTTTGGTTTAATTTCAAATGCACAATTACATGTCTTTATTGCTTTGATGTCCCTTTCTATTTATTGAACGGAAAGATTTGTTCAGGTCATGCTCATCATGCTTATGCAATAGTGAATACCTAAAAGGAAAAATTTTGTAAAATGTCTTAAATTTTATGGACTTTTCTAAAATGCCTGTAAGATTCAGGCTTTTATATACGGAACAATTTATTCAGTCAATCTACAAAATGTCTGAAATTATTTTTTAGCAAGAAATGTTAACAAAAACTGAGCTATTTAAGGTATTGAACAACATATTAGTATTATGTATGCTAACTACTTAATAATCAAATACAAATTCTACTGAATTATTCAAAATTCCCGAACTTGCTGAACTTGACACTTATTTGTTTTTTCATGAAATGTTTAAATGTCATGTGCTATTATTCATTTGTTCTGATATTTCTGCAAATACATTGTGAACATCGTTTTGCGTTTAATTTGCAATAAAACCACATTTGGTGAAACCCGGACCATGGCACATTCAGCGATGTAAATATTTTTTCTGATAAAACACTAAGTCAAAAAGATGTGGTAATGCAAAATACGATTCATTTTCATGTGTTCCTAAACGATTCAATGTAACATTGGCATGGTTAAGTTGACCTGCATCTTTTGGCAAAACAGAGCTTTACACATGATGAGGTATATCTTTGCATGGCGGGTGATGCATGAATAGCAGGAGACGCGTGCGTTGTCGACGCACCGGTCTCGCTTTTAATAAAGTTCATACGATTCCACAAGATTTTGTTTTGTCTCAACTTTTCAATTTTCAAAGGTCCTTAACATGCATGAAATATTGGCTGCTAAAAGCAAGCAAACAATAATCAGTCAAAAAATCTTTTTTTTTCTCTACATAATTTTGAGTCTAGATTTTCTACAATTGTTTGTTAATTTCATTCTTTTGTAAGAAAAACGTGTCATTCTGCTATCATCACAAGAGCACAAAATTATCATCTGAGATACAGGTTGAGTACATACGTAACGTAGTGTCTTAAACAAAATAACTTGTATTTTAAAAAACTTTCTCAACTAGTCATTGAAGATTTACTTAATTGGTTATTTTCCTTGCAAGATATTGTGTTTTTGATAATATTTATCTCAATGAAATCCTTTTTCTACAATTGACCAGCAACTGAACAGAACTTTGTAGAATTTGTTTTAAAATTTCGGTCATTTTACAAAATGGTTAGGTTTTTTTCAGTCACTCTATATAATGTCTGTCAAGATTATGCATTTTTCTAAATTGCCTGTAAATTCAGTCATTTTACAAAATGCCTGTAACATAAATACATATATGAAGACTAGGATGAAAAGATTGTTTTTGATTCCTCTCAGGTTTTAAATGCCACTTTCAACCTTCTCTTATAATGATGGTCAGTTTTTATTCGTAAAGCAATTTAGAGCTCTCGCAGAGAACCACCGACCTTCGGTGGTAATACTAGCAATTAAAACAAACTTATTTTGAGACTAACGCACCTTGCAGTGAATATGGTCATAAAGGGTATTTAAAGTTACGAAATGAAATGTGCTATTATGCCCTTTGTAGCCTTTAACTCATTATTATTTATGACAAATACACCAATGAAAATATGAGAGTTAAAACCTTGAATGATGTTTTATTGAAACCATTTATGTGCATTTAGATAAAAAAAATCAAAACATTGCATTCAACACCCTGTACTAATGCTGATCACTTTTTCTTTTTCTAGGTGCTATCATTGGAGGCGTTATTGGTGGAATCGGAATCGTTATTATTGTTTCACTTTTACTAATATTTTGTAAGACAAGGTACGTTTTGTCTTCTGATCCAAACTAGTTGATGACGATAAATGGCTGCTGAACTTTCATCGGGAAATTAATATGCATATTCAGGACGAGAACATCCTAATGTAATACGAATATTAACCCTGCTTTGTACAAGAACAATACGCTGAGCCAGATTTTTAACGTGCTAGTTCCTAAGGTAATCTGTCCGCAGGTGAACATGTCACCTTACCCAGACACATCATTCTTACTCTGGACCGATCAGTCTTTCCCCTTACTCCTTAATGCCGCATGTTTAGTGGAGTAGCAAAAAATACCAGTTTTTAAAGTCCTTGGTTGGATCTGGCCGGGTTTCGAACCTATAACATCCCTCACTCGAGGCGAACACGCTACCACGAGACCATCGAGGCGGTTGAACCAAACTATATGTATATAGCATATACAAATAAACTCAACACAGAAACCAGGTCGCGCCTTTCATCTAAATAATCCTCACCAATGACGCTCGAATCAAACAAGTTAAAATAGTCAAATGAAGTACGAAATCAAAAGCATTGAGGACCAAAAGTCGAGATGTAAGGGTTTGAACAAAAAGTTACAAACATACATGCATTATGTTTATTTAAATAAAACCAATTAAATAATTAAAGACTTCTTGGATCTACAAATCATCAATGATTTCTTTCAAATTTGACAGTTTCAATCCATTTGTCCTTGCATTCATCGTTAAATTATTTTACATGACTATTAATCATTCTCAATTATTGTTTTGTCCTAATGTGCATCATAAGATTCAGCTGTTTTGATTATAACCTTTTGTCAACTTTCAATTCTCATTAACATATTATCTGTCCAAGCATATGACGTGTACATATATAATAATGATACACTGGTAAATGTAAACCTGTAGCAGGAGAAGCTAAAGTAGACACGCGTCTGGCTAACCCAATTATAAACCTGGTATCGTTGATGGGTTTTTCCCTTATCATCATGCGTGGTGCTCACTCTTTAGTTTCCATATTGTGTTTTGTATGCTGTTGTTTGTCTTTTGGTCTTTTTCTTGTTTTGTCATGGTGTTGTTAGTTTATTTTCAAATTATGAGTTTGAATGACTTTTTGGTATTTTTTACCTCTCGTTAGTAGAACCGTTCTATTGCAAATGTTCAAATGCTTTAATCTTGAAAAAAGCATATATAAAATAAAAATATTTTGAATAATGCGAAATTATTGAAATGTAAAATAAAATTGTGTGTTCTTTTCTAGATTAAAGCATTTGAAAACCTAGAATGTTTGGTGGGAAAAGCTCATGTCTCCTTTCTTTACTTTTAATTCATGGATAGAACTGCATGCCTTGAAAAACTGGAAAATAAAAGATATGTTGTTTGTCGATTTCGAATAAATATTTCGAAAATATTGAAATGTAAAGGTATTGCTGAAGAAAAGTCGATGACCTTTAATTCTAATTGGTAAGCATACTACACTTCCTTTTGTTACAAAAAAAATTCCTTACCAACTTTGGTGTTGCTAAAACGAAAAAGGAAAGAAACAAACACCACAACGTATATTCAAATTACTTAAAAGTTAATTGAATACAACATACTTTTATATAACTGATATTATATTTCAGGAAATTACTAATATTTAGAAAGACATTCGATGCAGATCGTGAAAGATTACAACCCTCGGAAAACCCGTCCGACAATACACGACGATGTGATGTTAACGATCATTACAATCAGATTACCATTGATAAATATTCTAACAGTACAAATAAAAGAGAAGTAATACCTTTACATGAAACACTTGGAATATATGAAAATGGAAGTAATGGGAATTTGAAAGATAACAAATCACGGCTACAAAATTCATTCAATCCTTCGCATGCACAAGTTCGAGTGCCAAAACAACATATACCATGATTTAGAATAATAGTTTTCGACGTTGAACATGTTTTCTACCTGTGATGCAAATTAAAAACAAACTAGGGTTTTATTTAATAGGAAAACTCGAATGTATGATACTATTTAACGTATGAACTTACCAGATAAACTTGTCATAACCATTGTTTATGTTATCTCATTCTATTTCAATCACCTAGCATTAGTTGTCTGTGTTATTTTCTATTATTTTCAAAAATTAATTCATAATTTTAAGTACAAAAAACTAGTATTAGCAGCAACGCTGAATTGCCTTCATTCAGTCACACAGTTATTTTTATTCTTGTTATCTTATATTGAAATATTTTAACGGTTAATGTTAAAATGTGTCGACAAGGTGAATTGTGTATCACATACGACAGTTGTCTACTACAAGTACACAAATACTACACATATACACTGAACAATGAACACAAAGTACTACTTTATACGTTTAGCCTTTGTTTGTCTCTGTTGCGAGAGATGTAAAAACATAGTGACTATACAATCTATTTCAGATGATCAGTTTTCATGATAATTTTGAGTAACTTTTCTGGTAGATTCATACCCTCTGCAACATTGCATAGCGTTATATATTTCATTTGATAGTCAAATGCATGAATATTCTAATTATACGCATACCATATAAAAGGGTCTACTCCAAACGTAAATTTTAATGCAACACGTCAGGAATCTGCCTTACATAAGGTCAACACCACACAATAGTTGATTGCATACAATGTGTCTGTTTCTTAACTCCCGAGGGACACGTTTTTGAGGTCTTAAAACTTAAAATACTACAACACTAGACCTTCTGAAATATTAATTTATTTTTTCGTGAAATTTTTGTCTGAATTTGCACGTTGATGATTCATTTATAGCAGAGGGTGCTTATCCTGTCAATGCACCAGGACTCGCTTATTTTGATTTTCTGTAATTTCCTCCAGTAGAATCACTGATTTTGTAAATTCAAAATGGATGTACGTGTTTTAAAAATTGATAAGCAATTGTTGTCTCGGTAAAAATGGAGCACTGGACTAATAAGCTGGTATGCTTTATAGTAAGTAATAGCTGTCGAATGTTTTAAATACTTCTTACAACCTTCTTTTGAAGCCCACATTAATGGATTTATTGAAATCAGATCGCCTTTCAAAACTTAGGATGGAATTGTGTGTCAACCTTATTCGTAAAGCCATCGTACACCTCATGGTTACCACCCTGCAATAGTTGCAAACTTCAATCGCTATATAATTTGATAGATAACGAAGTCAATATAATATGAAGAAATTGAACTAAACATCATCATGTGTGGGTTGTTTGTAGTAGATATATATTGTGTGAAGACAATCGATGAAAGAGTATGCATACAGCATGTATAGTTTAATTGCAACATTGACGGCTGATTGTGTTCTTTGTTCATTTTAAGATTCAACTCGGGCCATACGTATCATTAAAACTAACAACTACGTTTAAATCCTTTTCTAATCCTGATAAATGGTATACATGTAACTGATTGTATAACAAAAAACATTTAAGATTCCAAAGGGAGGATCAAAATTCAAAAAGTCGAGGAAAGACCCATAAAATCATGGCAAAATATTTTAATAAACGACGAAGAGGCAAAACAAAGGCAACAATAATATACCGCTGTTCAAAAGTCATAAATCGATTGAGAAAAAACAAAAACGGGTTACAAACTAAAACCGAGGGAAACCATAAAAGGAACAACAGGAACACTGAAGTGCAACAAAAACAAACGCCAACAAACATAGAAACGAACTATATTTGATAACAACTGCCATATTCCTAACTTGGTACAGGACATTTTAAGAAAAAAATGGTGGGTTGAACCTGGTTTTGTGGTTAGCCAAACCCAGATTACAAAACACTGCATAAACAAATTAAAATTTTAACAAAAACTTGGTTGATCCCAGGTTATTGAAGCTGTACATAATCACTCTTTGGAGCTAGAGTGATAACAGCAAAAGCTTAATTTCCTTAGTATTTTTAACGCAAGATGCATTATATCCCAGCTAGTTGACACAATTTACTTTTTTAGATTTTAGTATTAGTTTAAGTTTTAGATGGAAACCATTATTGGGTCTGCAATTATTTCAAGAGGAACAGTCGAGACCAGACGTTTCAGGACCTAAGAATACAAATGTTTCTGAGATTCACAGCAAAGAGAATATATATGAAATTGCCACATCTCTTCTGATGTGCTATTGTCAAGGGAAATTGCAAATTTGGCAACATACTATGTTAACTTTACATTACAATGGAAATATATATTTTAAATAATGCCACCATCGAAGTTTTGAAGAGAAAGACAAATCGGTGGATGAGTGGTTAAAACAACAGAATTATAACTCCATAATTTCATTTGCAACGGACCGATTCGTGTGTTTTTGTTAAATCATATATGTGCATGTTTATGTTGTTTAAGGTATAAAGATCTACCAACTTAAGAAAATTAATAAAAGTCCAGACATTTAGTTTTAGATGCATGATTATTTTTATTAATTGTTATTGGCTTTAAAACATCTGTCAGTAACTGCGAGTACTCTCAGATCTGTACTTAGTTTCTTTTTGTTGTTGTGATATACAAGTATCCGGCAACGTCCACTCTGTTTTTTTGTTAGATGTATTTCTATTTGTATCCATCTGTTGAGTTGAGCCTTTTTCAACTGATTTGTATAGTTCGTTCTTATGTTGTACTGTTACCCCACTGTACCAGTTAGGGGAGGGGTATGGATCCCGCTAAAATGTTTAACTCAGCCACATTATGTATGTATGTGCCTATCCAAAACCAAGAGCCTGTATTTTAGTGGTTTTCGTTTGTTGCTGTGTTACATATTTATTTTTCGTTAATTTTTTTGTACATTAATTAGACCGTTAGTTTTCTTGTTTCAATTGTTTTACATTTGTAATATCGGGGACTTTTATAGCTGACTTTGCGGTATGGGCTTCGCTCATTGTTGAATCCGTACGGAGACCTATAGTTGCTAATTTCTGTGTCATTTGGTCTTTTGTGAAGAATTGTTTCATTGGCAATCATACCACACCTTCTTTTTGTATAAGAACTCTTTATATTTAATGCTTTCGAAAGTTTGCTTTTTTGTCTTTGTAATCAATTAAAATGGCATGATAGTGATAATTATTGGTACTACCAATGATCTTGGATTGTAAATGTGATATGATAAAAATTATTCATGCCAGTGAAAGTTTATTAAAAAATTTATGGCATAAACCCGAAAATGAAAAATATTTTACTGATTATTAGAACTGATATTGAAGTAAAAGGTTAATACAGTTATCGCCTTTTAAGTACAATTAATGTTTGTTTACAACAGACAAGAAACCGCCTTTAAAAAAAAGCAATTCACTTGTTCACTCTTAAATATAGTGAAACTTCAAGGTAGTAACATTTTAGTTTTAATGAATAATCACAAGACAACTCATGACTTAGTTTAGATTTTTCAAAAATAGGTCTTTTGATATGCTCTCAAACAAGTTGGGTTTTTTTTCGAAATTGACTTCTTTTACAACAATTCAAAACGAAAGGGGTAACAAAATGCTTTCGTTGACAAATATTACAGTATTGTTCGTTGAACAATGATTGTGTAGTAAATAAGACGACCTCATTAGATAATCGTACATGTGTTTACAAAAGGAAAATGTATATATAGATAGCTCTTCCGGGTTCAACTTCTAATGCAATGTATTTGAATCAGGAATGTCAATGGTGTCATTTTCAAATAGCCTTTCCCTAGTCAAGATTGAACTTTGTTTGTCACATGTTTCTTTTTTGAATAGTTTTTAATATGACAGTGGGGTTTTTACTCTTTTCGTTGATTGAATACGTTTAATTTGTATCAGCCTTTATGGTCTTCCACTTTTCGAATTCAACTTGGAGTTCAGTAATTTTGTTTTATTGCGTTCAATGATTATTACTAAATAATCATTGAAGAATTGAATTCAAAACTTACAAAAGCCATTGACTGTTGATCTGAATTTTAATTTCCAAGTTATGATCTAATGATTTCAAATAAAAAGAGTATGGTAACGGGAAACAACAACTGAAAGTATCAATTGACAAGATATTTTGTTCATAAATTAAATCAATTATACTGACGGTTTAGAAAAATCGAAAGAAAAACTATTTCATCTATAAAGATAGACTGTTTAACTATTCTTTACATATAATATTATAACACATTATTCAAATATAGAATATTCAATTCAAAACACTTAATATTTTTGTTATTTTAGCGATTGAACAGTAGAATGAGTGAACATTTTTAGTCGGAGGATAGTCATCTCTGGAACATATGCTCACATAGACTAACTTGTACTAATCATGTTGGCTTCTATTTTATTGAAGCTTACACATCATTTGTCTTTATTCCAGTACTTCGTGAAAAGTTGTGGTTTAAGTAAACGAATCAAAAACAGGTTGCGATTGCAATTAAGACAATTAGTGCAACTCTCTATCTTTTTGCACATTAACTTTCCTTTCAAACAACTCATTGATAGACCTGTAGTCATTGCAGAACCTATTCATTCATTTTGTGTGTACGTGTTCACGTCTTGAATACGTATGTAATATTTGCCATTTGACATATAAGTAAAAAACATCAACATGCAACTAATAATACAACTTACATTCATACAATAAATTAAAAACGTTATTTACAACTTCAGATTACCATAAAACTTTCA